TCCATGAGCAGCTGGAGATGAGGCCATGAAGACTGGTAAGGTTTTCATGATCTGTTTTTCAGGAGAAGTCACTAACCTTTTTGTCATAAACCAACTCGCCCAGAAGCTCTTCTGAAATCTGTTCAGCACCATAGCAACACTGATGCCACCTGAGACAGGTGGGAGGTGACTGGTCATGAAGTGCTTCACCCAGAAAGTAAACTGAGTCTCTCACATGGAAGGTAAGAATTTTCTTACAGAACCATTATTGTCACCAGTGTTCCTTATCAGTTTTCCTTAAACCCGTTACCATTGAGCTGACCCTGTCTCCAATTCATGTCAACCTTGCGTTTATCAGAATAGAATTAAATTCCATAAGGTTTTCAATGGATGTTTGTCTTGAAAGTAGAACAGCAAATCTCTTTTCTCTAGCACTTCTGGGCAGACAGTCAAACTTTTGATCACCAGCTAGTCATGTTAACCATTGGCTCTGCTGTGGAGAGTAAACCTTCTGAATTCTCTGCCACCTCCTGTAGATTCGACCTTAACGGATAGGGACACATTTCTTCATTTAGTAAACAATCAGAATTTGCATAGCATTCTATCATGTGAATGTACCACAATTCCTCAATTCATTTGATTGTGGTTGGACATTTGGGCTGTTTTCATGTTCTAAGCATAGTGTTTTTGAAACATTATATAACATTGTATTTCTATCAATATTTATAATTTCATTTAATAATCAGTTGCCAATTCATTAAAAGTTATTTAAAAGCAATACTACTCTAAGCACGTTTGAACTTGTTACCTCTCTATACTCACACCATCCACCTCAACACAAACAAAACACTATGCTTTTCTGTGTGCTTAATTTACTTTCTAGTTTGTTTTTTAAAATTTTATACTGATTTATTTACAAAGTTGGAATACATTATTTTTCACTGCTGTGTAATATTACATTATGTGGATGTACTAAAGTTTCTCTATCCAGTCAATTGTTGATGGGCACTTGGGCTGCTTCCATCTCTTTGCTGTTGTCAATAATGGAACAACCACTATGGAAGGCAGTCTGGAGCTTCCTCAAAAAGTTGGAAATATAAATACCATTTGTGTATGTGTTTTTAAAAAGCCTAGAACAGGCAGCTTGAACTAACTGTTAAGAAATGTAGTAGGAAAGTGAGAGTAGAGGAGGACTGGTTGCTGTTAGAAAAAAATCTCAGTTTTTATACGTACTAACAAACTTATACCTAAACTTGTTGGTGGAACAGAGCAAGGATTTGATGGCATCTAAATACATTTTATAAGAAACATAAATGCAGGTTTTACACATGACTTTCACCTGATGGTATGCATAGGAATCAGATTGATTACATCTGTGGAAAGAACCACTAGAGAAGCTCAATATCAGCTGTGAAAACTAGGCCAGGTGCTGATTACCAACTACTCATATGTAAGTTCAAGACCACCAACTACTCATATGTAAGTTCAAGCTGAAGCTAAGGAAAAGTAGATCAAATCCATGGGAACCAAAATATGACCTTGAGTCTATCAGAACCATCTCAGGAGCAGGTTTGAGGCCTTGAATACCAATGAGCAAAGACGAGTTGTGAGAGAATATCAAGAGTGTCATCCAGAAAGAGTGCAAACGGTCTTTACAAAGACAGAGGACAAAGAAAAGACTGAAATGGATGTCAGAAGAGACTCTGAATATTGCACTAGAGTGCTAAGAAGCCAAAGTACAGGGAAGAATTCAAAATACTAAAGAACTGAACAGAAGATTTCAAAAGACATTGCGAGAAGACAAAGTAAAATATTACAATGAAATGTGCAAGGAGCTGGGGTCAGAGAATCATAATGGCTGAACTCGCTCAGCATTTCTTAAGGTCAAGGGACTGAAGAACAAACCCAAACCTCAACTTGCTATAATCAAGGATACTTTGTGCAGAATATTAAGTGATCCAGGAAGTATTAAAGAAGATGGAAAGAGTATACAGAGTCACTGTACCGAAAGGAATTGGCAGGCACAGAAGAATTTAATGAAACAACATATGAGCAAGAGCCTATGGTGATAAAGGAAGAAGTTCAAGCCTCTTTTAAGGAATTGGCAAAAAATAAGGCCCCAGGAATGGATGGTATACCAATTGACGTATTTCAACTAACAGATGCTGCCATAGATGTGCTCACCAAGTTGTGTCAAGAAATCCGGAGGACAACCACTTGGCCAACTTACTGGAAGAGATCTATATTTGTTCCCATTCCAAAGAAAGGTGACCCAACAGAGTGTGGAAATTATCAAACATTATCATTGATATAACATGTAAGCAAGATTCTGCTGAAGATTATCCAAAAATGACTAGAACAGCACATCAACAGAGCTCTGCCAGAAGTGCAGGCTGGGTTTAGAAGGGGTCATGGTACTAGGGTTATTGTAGCTAATGTTAGATTGATCTTGGCTGAAAACAGGGAGTACCAGAGGAATATATATCTGTTTCATTGATTATGCAAAAGTGTTTGACTGTGGATCATAACAAAGTGTGCCTGACTCTGAGAAAAATGGAAATCCCAGAATATTTGATTGTGCTAATGCAAAACTTATACTTGGACCAGGAGACAGTTGTCAGAATAGAGCAAGGAAACTCTGCATGGTTCAAAATTGGGAGGGGTGTATGCCAGGGATGTGTTCTATCTCCATACCTTTTCAACCTATATGCAACACAGATTATCTGGGAATCTTGGCTGTATGAGAAGTGTGGCATCAGGACTGGTGGAAGATTCATCAACAATCTCCGTTATGCAGATGACAAAACCCTGCTTGCTGAAACTGAGGAGGACCTGAAGCACTTGCTGCAGAAAAGGTCATGGATTGAGGCTAAATGTCAAGAAGACAAAGATTCTCACCACTGGGCCAATTGACAGCATCAGGATGGTTGGTGAAGAGATTGAGATTGTTCACAGCTTTAGTTTGCTTGGTTCCACAGTCAATACTCTTGGCACCAACAGCCAGGAAATTAAAAGACGTATTGTGATGTGAAAGTCTGCTGTTAGGGACCTCTCCACAGTACTGAAGAGCAATGGTGTCACTCTGGAGACTAAGGTGCGCCTGATACAGGCTATGGTCTTTGCAATTACTTGTTATGCGTCAGAGAGTTGGACAATGACTACGGATGATAGAAGGTGCTTTTTTTATACAAAAAAAACTTCTGTGTATTTGATAAAGTCAACTTAATATAACAAAAACAATTGAAATAGCTTATTAAAAGTGTCCTTATATAGAAGGTGCTTTTGAGATAGATGCTTTTGAGCTGTGGTGTTGGAGAAGAGTATTGAATATACCATGGACTGCTAAGAAAACGAACAGGTTCATCCTTGAGAGGGTTAAACCAGGCTGCTCCTTGGAGGCAAGGATTCTGAAGCTTCTTCTGACATACTTTGGACATGTTGCAAGGAGGGACCAGTCCTTGGAGAAGGACGTCATGCTTGGGAGGATGAAGGGACAGTGCAGTAGATGAACACCTTCTATGAGGTGGATTGATTCAGTGACTGGGGTAATGGGGGTAGGCGTGTCAGAGACAGTGAGATTGGCACAGGATAGAGCAGGGTTTGGGGCTGTTGTACATAGGGTCTCTATGAGTCGCAGGCAACTCACTGGCACATTAACAACAACCACAACAAAATCAACTCCCATTTGAGTCCTAAAGGCCTCAGCTTTCTGATCTACTGGTAAGAAGCTGCACTACAACACAATTCTAAGGCAAGCCATTCAAATCCACAGAAGAAATCCTGCAGAAGGAAATCCGATCTTTTCCTGTCTGAAAACCAGCTGGAGGGTCAGCTCTTGGTTGGTTCTGACTTGAAGGCACACAACAATCATTTCCTTAAATTCTCGAGGCTCTCTGCCCTTCTCCCTCTAGCAATTAAATCTGATTTTAAGTTTACAACTTAAGCATTTTTGTGTTGATAGGCCTCTTGAGGATAAATTCCCTCATTCGTTCATCCTAAATTCCCTAGCCCTCAAATATGCCTTCAGACAAAATTAGGTAGCGAATGTTCGCCCTTCAAACAGCATTTGGTGTTGCCTAAGAAACAGAATCCCTCTGGGTAGAGGTCAAAAAAGGCTGCTGAGTGGCACTACAAGACATAGATGTTTTCTGCCAACTCTCGCACAGGGAGGCCACAGGGAGAACTGGTTGTTGGGTGCCCCGTAGGGAGGGTAACGTATTTCAGATGTGATTCGTCAACTAAGTGCTGGCCATATGGAGTCACAGCATTTAGGCAACATTAAAACAACCTGGGTAAGTGATCGTGATTTCACAATCTATATAGGTGTTTTCGTTTCTTTAAAAAATTGTTTTCAACACTTCTTCGAGTGTTAAAAGCCACTTAAAAAAACCCCACATGGGGAGCGGGGTGGGGGGGAGAACGGGGGATTGTTACACCAATAAAGGAATTTCTTTTCAAAGAGAGGAGGGGAGGGGTGGGCAAGGAGAAAAGTGCAACAATGAATGGAAATCCAAAATCTCTGTAAATGTTCATGAAAATTAATTTAAAAAAACGAAAAAAAAAGACCCACCCCACATTAAAAAAAGTCCCCCACATAAAATCAGTAGAGAAGCTGAGGAACTTAGTAACGGGACTCATGCGTGACAACGATCTATAGGCAGTTCTGGAACGCGACAACATAGGCCCAGATCAGTCATTTCCGAGTCCACCCTGGGCGAGAAGCGTTAATGCCGCGGGGCTGGCAGCCTGATCTCACTTCACGTTCGGAGAAATGACTCCGCACTTAAAGCCGTGTCCAGAGTCCCAAGTCGCCACGGGCCGGAACGGACCACGTGACCAGGCCTCCTCGGGGCCATTCCCGCCGAGGGAGCCGCCACTGTTCCCCGCACATGCCGCAGCTCCGGCGGCGCGGAACCACCTGGCACCGGCGGAAGCAGGCTGCTGGAGAAGCCCCTGTTTCTAAAACCCGCGCCTTCCCCGGCGGCGCTTCGCCAGCTTCTCGCCCCAAATGGGTGGCCGAGGACTTCCGCCCGAGTGCCAACCACGTGATCACGCGATACTTGGGGAAGTAGCGCTCAGACCCGCCTACTCCAGTCCCCGGGCTCCGCCCGCCCAGCACCCTCCACGGCCAGTGACGACGCGGCCTCCGCCCAGGCGCGCCTGCGCACGCGGCTCTCGAGCTCTGCCCCGCCCACCGTGCCCCCGCCTTTTCCGCCCCTCCCTCCCCCTCCGCCCTGTCTCTCGGCGGAGCGGCGGCGGCGGCTCGCGCAGCTTGTTGGCTCGCTATATAAAGGGGAGAAGCAGGCGGACCGGACGGCTGGAGCTGCAGCCGGTGGCGGCAGCGTCTGCGCGGGGAGCGGCGGCCGGTGGTTTCCCTCCTTCGCGCGGGGTGGGGAGCGGGTAACGCCCCCCAGACCCTACAAGGGTCGTGCCTTTTTTTTTTTTCCCCCCAAGAGGCGATTCTCGAGGTTTTTAACCCCGAGAGGAGTGCCCCCTCCTCCGGCTCCTCTCTCCGCTTCCCTCCTTACTCGGTCAGGTTTCGATTTGAAATTTTTGTCCCAATCGTGCGGAGGCTCGGGTCACCCGTCCGGGTGTTTTGGTTTCGTTTTTCTTCTTTTTTTAAATTTTGGTTT